AACAGATGAACTGCCTGGTGCTGATGCAGAGACAAACCCCAAAGACTCCTGGCACCAGGTGCCAGCCCACAGTGGGTTTGGGTGGGTAGGGGATGAGATCTACCCCCTCCCTGCCCTGCCTTGTCTCCTAGTCCTGTGGCTCCAGACCCTGCTGGCTGCCCCATCCCCCCTGCCCAGGAGGCAGCCAGGGATCAGCAAAGGCTGCCTGCCCCAAGTCCTCAGCTCCTTGGTGTGACACCTCTGCTTACACCAGCTGGTGACCCGGGGTGTCTGCCAGTGGGATGAGCAGGTTTTCTAGCTTGTAGGTGATTTATGGCTCCTGCTGGTTGGGGCTCCTCTGGCCTCGGAGCGCTCCGCTCGGTGCCGGTTTGTGCGACGCTGGTGCTTGAGCTTGGAAAAGGGACTTGGGAAGTTCTCCCCAGCCCTCCCAGCTGCTGGGATGGGGTGGCCACCTGCAGCCCAGCTCGGGAGGGTTTGCATCCTGATGTTACCAGAACAGAGAAGGCCAAAGGTTGGAGGGGAGGGCCCTAGCATGCAGGCAGCTTGAGCTACACGTACGGTGCTGCCCCCACGAAGGTGCTGTTATTGTCACCTTGTTTATTTTGTTTGTGAGAAGGCTGGGGAGGGATGGGGTGAGTTTAACAGGGAGAGAAATATTGAAGGGGATGGAAAAAGGGGGGAGAAAAAGGAGCTCTGAAGTGTGGAAAAGGGTGCGGATAGACTGAAGCACTTAGTGTAGGAGAAAACAACCCAGGTGCAATTCACCCATGAACATGTGACTTGCCTCCATTCCTAGGGCAGCTTTTTCCTCATCTAAGCTCTAAAATAGGCTTTTCTACAGACAGCTCTGCTTCCCTTGGCCCTCATGAGCCTTTGGGGGAGGTTTCTGTCCTCCTTGTGTTGTGTGTACAAGCATGGGGGAAAAATTGACCCTTGGGTAACCAGGAGGAGGAATAATCCAGCACAACAGCAGAGAAATAATGGTTGCACTCTCATCTGCTATCTAAGCCATAGTTTGCCTTTGCACCACAAACAAATATTCCTCTATATTTTTGCAGTTATAAATTCATACCTTTGGTCTGAAGCACTGCAGTCCTTTGTAGGTGTGAGATCATAAGTCATGCGACTGCCAGGAAATGTGGCCAATTATCAGGAGTCAATCAGCCTGGCAAATAAAGGTGAAACTGTAATTGCAGGCTCTGCTGCCAGGCGAGCAAAGCTCACCCGAGGTGTCCCCACTCTGGGCAGCCAAGCAAGAGCAAAAGGCTCCTTTGGGCAACATGGTGCTGAGCTGCTCACAGGTTGCTCCTAATGAGTGATTAAATTACGAGCCATGTGCTGAGCAGCCCACAGGGGAGGAAGTTGTGCTGCACTCTCTTTCTGGAAGGGCATTTGAAGCAAGTCATTTGGACAAAGATTGGGTGAAATTCATTCTATGAGAAGCAACAACTCTTTAGGTCAAGGGTTTCCAGCAGGAGAAGCTGCAGTTCACCCTGTGGGGTGTCCTTGTCCCTGCAGCACTGCCAGTCCCTGGGGGCATCACCCAGGCTCTGCCCCACTGGGGCAGCAGCAGAATCAGTGCCCAAGTGGCTGGTGGGCTCTCCCAGGTTGGGGTCCTGGGACTGTTGCTGGGACTGTGCTGTTATTCTCCAGAGGTTTTGCCCTGTTGACATCCTAAAGCTCCAGGTTTGTGTTTCAGTAGTGTCAGGGTTTGCAAGAAAGCTGCAGCCCAGGGTGGTTGGTGTGGGGTGAGGGTGGACAACCTCCCTGGAGCCACCTGCAGCAGGAGCTCCAGTCAGTTCCCTGCTGCCCACTGGTGACACAAGGACTCCTTTTGTTGCCACCACAGAGAGGTGATATCCCTTTCCTTTTCCAGCAGTTGCTTTGCCTATGGAACTTCCTCACCCTCATGCAAAGTTCATAGCACAAGAGAGAGCCTCCTGCCCTTTGGCCTGGCCCATAAAAATTTGCCTTTATTGCTGTGTCTGGGTTAGGCAGGGCAAGCCCTCCTGGTGTTGCCACTGCTCCCAGCTGGAGGTACCTGTGTGCCCAGTGAAGGTGCAGGCAGCCCTGGTCCCAGCATGGGTTTATAAAGAGCTTGATTAGGACAGACATGTTCAGAAGAATCCAATGTTAAGGTTTTAAACCTTTTTTAATTGCACAGCCCATGCAGGAGTTTTATCTTAAAGAGCTCGTGATGCTCCTCTGGGTACCAGCAGCCTGAAGGTCTCCTTTGCTTGGACTGGGAGGAGAAATGTCACCTCTGCAAATCCCCCCAGGCCAGGAGGTGATGGAGGAGCCAGTTGGGCAGGTGCTGAGGCTCAGCTGGGATCTGGCAAGTCACATCCCTCCTGAGCTGGAGAGCTTGACTCTGCTTTGTTGGGGTTTTTTGCCCCCCTCCCAAAGAGTTCAAAAACAACAACAAAATACTTTGAACTTGGCAGTTGTTCACCCAGAGAAGTGACCAGACAGATAAAATTCACCCCATCTCGGCGCTTCACCACTTTTCACTGGCAAAACACCTCAGTCAAGTGGGTACCTGGGCAGGGGGGCAGGGAAAGTATCTCCTCTGTGCTGGTACAGACATACCTGGAGCTTGTCTGTGGTCCCTGGGCCTGAGGCACTGGCTGCTGTTTCCTTCTGTCCTCAAGTCTTGGTCAAACCTTTTAGCTGTGACAAATGTAAGAGCTGGGTTTTGCTGGTGTGTGTTGGTTTGGTTGGGGTGGTTTTTTTTTTTGTATCTCAGCATAACGGTGAAACTTGCTCCTTTTAATGCATGAATGGGCAAAATCACCTCTTACCTTATTTTTAGCTACGTTTGCATCATAGAAAGTTTCCCTTCTCTCCCCTCCCGCGGGTGTGTAACAAACTTGCAGCAGTTCCTAAACAAAAGCTGTTTCCTCTGGTGGTGTTGATGTCCCTTCCTGGGTGTGCAAAGGTCCAGCAGCTCCATTCTCACCCTGGTGGTCCCTGCTGCTGTGGCTGGGATTGCACAGAATGTTCCTGCTCTAGATCCATGCAGGGTTTGGGGTGGCTGCATGAGGGGGTTTTTTGGGTGGCAGTGATGGGAGGCAGCTGTGGTCTCTGCTCTGCCCTGTCTGCCCCTTTGGAGCTGGGCTGGATTGGAGTGTGTGTGTCCCCCCCTTGCTTTTCCCCTGTCCCCTCAGTGCACCCCCCGGCTGTCCCTGCAGCCTGAGTGGGCAGGGAGACTGTGCCAAAGGCTGTAGGAAGTGTCTGCTTTGTTCAGCCCTTTGGGCTGGGTCCTCCCTCTCCTCCAGCCGCCCTCGCTCTGGCCCAGGGAATGCAGAGCTTCCCAAAGGCCATCCCAGCACAGCTCTGCTCAGAGCAGGGGGTTTCCAGGCTGTGTAGGAGCCAGTGGCTGCAGCTGCAGGCACGTTCCATCAGCCTCTCATCTCCCACCCCAGACACAAGTACATTCAGACCCCTCCAGCCTGCAAGCATGACAAAGGCATCAGATACCCAGTGAAAACCTGGCCTGCTGTCCCCTTGCCTGGGGAACTGGGCGTGTGTTTTCTCTGTAGACAAGACCCAGTGGTTTCACTAGGTCCTCACTGCTGACTGCAGGAGCTGGTGGGGACATCCAGAGCAGGGATGTGGTGCCAAAGGGTTTTAATGACACAGCCTGTAACCCTGCTCTAAGGGAGGGCTGACTGGCAGCTCACAGGCTGGTTTGGGCTGGAAGGGACCTTAAAAGTGATCTGGTTCTAACCCCCTGCGTGGGCAGGGACACCTCCCACCAGCCCAGGCTGCTCCAAGCCCCATCCAACCTGCCCTTCAGCACTGCCAGGGATGGGGCAGCCACAGCTTCCCTGGGCAAGACAGGTGATGACAGACACAACCCAACCACCCCACAAGTGCACAGGACCTGGCCTTCCCTCCCCAGGCTGAGCAGGATTCCACCCATCAGCTGCACTGAGAAAGGAGGGATAGAAAATGGGAGCAAACTGGGCTAAATTCCCTGTGCTTTCATGACTCATGAAAAAAACCCCTCTGACTGTCTCTGTCAGCATCTGCTTGGGTGTTTTAAGGAATCTGGAATGTATCCTCCAAGCTCTCCCATGAGAAAAAGTAAACATGTCATATATAAAATGGTTTTTATTAGAACAAATATACAACACTTTATATACAAAAATAAAATGTACAAGAAAATAGTCTGTTACAGCTTACTGATTGATCCCTACATGCTGGGACACAAACTGGAGCCTTGGACCCCAGGAGAGCTGCAGGGGATCTGGGGAAGGCATGGGCTGAGGACAGAGCTCTGCCCCATCAGTGCAAAACAAGTGGTTCATGCAGCAGCTCTGTGCTGGGGGGTGCCATGCCATGCCATGCCATGCCTGCCAGCAGATAACAGCCTAGGAGCAGAGCTGGATACCTGTTCTCCATGGAAGCAAAGCCTAAAGTGAATTTTCACATTTTATTGGTCTAAACTCTTTACATAGTTGAAAGATCTGAAAGATGAAGGATGTCTTGTGGCAAATCAAAGAGGAGAGGGCCCATTAGTGCAATTTTTTCTGACAAAGTGTTATGACAGTTGCTAAGCCAAACGCCACCAGTGTTGCACCAAACCCAGCAGGGAGGACCCCCCATTTGCAGTGTCCCTCCTCAGCATGGGGTGGGTAAAGTGCTCATCCCACAGGAGTGGCCAGTGACCTCCTCCCTGGGCCACCACTCAGCTGGATCCCACCAGTGGGGACCCCAGGGCACACGGACAACTTCCCCTGGGGTGATTCCAAGGTGCACTCAGCAGCTGAGCAGCTCTGGTGCCTGGAGTCCTGCTGGTGAGATGACATTCCTTGGGTTTTCATTTATTTCTAATAGGGGTTTTTCTTACTAACCTTCCCAGGCCTAAAAGTTAAATGGAATATAGAAGCTACTTTCTTTGCTCAGTCAGTAACAAACAATTTTCTTCCATTCTCTTCAGGCTTGTCAAAGTTCTCCTACCCAAGAGCAGTTTGTGGCTGGGGGAGGCCAGAGGTTTACAGGCCACAGGAGACAACTTGAATGCTGGGTCTCATCATGTCCAGCCAGGAGAATTCTAGGCTGCTTTTCTGGTCAAAGAGCCTGAGCTCCAGCTCTCCTAGACAAAATAAACCATGAATGAGTATTGAATCACTTGCAGCGAGAGCAAAACAGTGTGTAGATGTATATAAATATAAATATTTGAAACTGAAAGATTTCTCTGATGTCAGTAAATACCTTAGACTAATATTTTGCTAAAATACTCCAAACGTTTGGCTAAACTGCCCCACCTCAGCTATTGTGGGTGGAAATCCTCCAGCTCCACTGGAAGGAGTCCCTGAAAGCTGGCACAGTTCCCATGGGCACAACCCTGGGACAAACCTGCACCATCCTCTTACAGGAGGCATTTTTCTCCTTTTTATTTCACCAGATCCCCTGCAGCCTTCCAACTCAGAAATCTCCAGCCACACAGGGATGTGTGAATTCCCCCCTCCTTGGCTTCACTCCCTCCCAGCTCCTGTCCCACCTGCAAACCACCCTGTGCCTGGTCCTGTGCCCGTGGGTGCCCCCAAAGGAGCTTGTACCTGAAGTGGTGTCGATCTCCCCGTCCTGCTCCTTGCAGCTGTAGGTGCTGCCCATGCTCTGTGAGCCTGGCTCGTTGGTGAGGAAGCCTTTGCCCCCAACACTGGTGGTGTGCCAGTCCTGGGCAGGCTCCAGCAGCTGCCAGGGAACAAGGAGATGATGGTTAAAACCCCTCCTTCCTTCTCTCAGGGCAACATTTCATTCCTCTCTCTTTGATAGGAGACAGGGAAGCAAAAAAGGTCACATCATGTCTTCTCTAAAATACATAAAACTCTGTTTACTTCCAGTTTAAAAGAAAAAAAAAAGTGGATGCCAAACAGGGAGAGCTGGAGCACCTTCAGAGATGAAGCCCCCATCTAATCAGCAGGATGACATGTCTAGACACATAGATTAATAGCCAAACATGTCAGAGGTGGAGGGAAGCACAAAATAAAGAGTTTAGAGCAGCTTTGCAGGCTCTAATCCAGCAGCCTCCAAATCTAGCAGGGCACAACACCTTGCTCTGACTTTCACATGGAGAGGAATTATTTCCATGGATGTGTCCTCTCCAGCTCATGCTTGTGAAGTAGCCTTCTTTTTATTTTCATTTTTCAGGCTCCCTCATTAAAGAAGGCTCCTGGATTTCACAAGTCTGTGTTCAGCTCATCTAGGACTGGATCAAACAGCTGCTTCCCTTCCTAACTTGGTGCAAGCAGCAGCTTTGGCCAATGGGATTCTGACCAGAAGGGCTGGTTTTACCTTAAGAATCTCTGAATTAATTTCCTCTTCATCTTCATCTGTGACTGTTTTGTAAGTACATAAAAAAGAAGCAGAAAACAGATGTTACATAGATGTCAGATTCTTGCACACCAGCCCTCACGCTTCTGCTTCTTTGCCACACAACCCACCTCATGTTCTCTTGTCACACAAGCCCTACCTTTGGCTTCCCCCCAGCCCCTGGGTGACATTGGGGCAGGGGACATGGCTTTGAGCCCCCTCCTCTTGGATGCTCTTTAACAAGTGCAGGGCTCTGGCAGCTTCCTAAGAGCCACCAAAGCCCAGCCCGTGTGGTTGGCAGGAGGAGGGTGATTTGCACCCCAAGTAAGGGCTGCCCTGCTACATCCACCTGAATGATTTGTTTTCCCCACTGGGGAGCACAGTTACCTGCACTGTCACTATTGAGCCTAACTCTGTCCTGCTTCTGCTATTGCTTCCTTCCAGCCCTGGGAATCCCCAATTCCACCCTCCTGGCCCAGAAATCTCTCCTGTTCCTCATGGGCTGACCTGTCCTTGCCATCATGCTGAGCCTGCAAGATGAAACCTGCCCCTGCACCCACATGTGCGAAGTAAATGGCATTTTGGAGCCTTTCACCCATGAGCAACCAGTTCTGCAGGTGGCACATGTCCCTCTGCAACCTGGTTGCTTGGGTAGCTTCAGCCACCCAAATCCATCAGGTGGGGAGGTTGGGCTTGGTTTTTTTCCTACAAGACAACTCTTGTTTCTCCTGATCCCCCAGGCGCTCCTTCATCCCGCTGCCTGCCCTCCAACCTGCCTCTGGTACAGTGAGGAAAGACCAAGGTAGGAAGAAAGCAATACCAACCTTCTGAGGATGAAGCCAAGGGAGACACTTGGAACTGGTAGAGGTCATTGGTGCTGTCAGCTGAGGTGATCTCCATGGATGGCCTCCAGTCGGTCAGAGCGCCCGTCAGCGAGCTGCCCACCTCGCACAGGGACAGGTCTGCAGGACACACCAGGAGTGGTTGGCATTCACAGGAGAGACACAACCTCCTCCACATCCTCCCTGCCCGCCTGGCAGCACAGCCACCCCAGCCCCAAGAGCCAAGTCTTTGACTTCTGGTGCCGGGATCGTGGCTTCAGCAGCGCCGGCGCCTGCCTCTCACCTAAGGTGATGGACGGGCTCTCAGCCTCCACTTCCTGCCCTGTGTAGTCATGAATGGTGTAGCCACTGTGGTCATCTGGCAGGGGAGTGTTGGTTAGTCTTTCCGTTGACTCCTCTGTCTTCATGTCCTCGTATGACTACAAAAACAAGGGCAAAGAATGAAGGACTCGCCCGAGAACGTACAGGTTCCCATATGAAAAAAAACTAAGTATGAAAACCACCAAAACCTCGAGCTTCTTCAGCTGCCTCTACAGACACTTACCTTCCTCTTGCTCCTGCTTCTTGCTTCTCTCGATGACTTCGACTTCCTTTCTGTGAAATAAAAATAAGACAAGGGTGAGAAAGGGTTGCAGGGCTGACAACAGAGGCGAGCACAAGCTCTTGCAGCTTTGAGCTCTGCTCACCAAGCTCTGCCACCTCTGGCCCAGGCCCCACCACCTCCCAGGGATGCCCTGAGGCAGATTTAAAGGCTTTGGGATAAAACAAACACTTTGTACAAACTGGTACCCACGGCAATAACCAGGGATTGTCCCCACCCAACGACCAGCAGGTCTGTTGTCCTAGAGCAGGACATTTAAGCAGACTGGGCGCAGAGGCTGCTGAGGACTTACCCTTCTTCTGGTCCTTTGTCAAGGGTGGCAGCATCCTGTACACCCTGACAGCACTGGAGCCTTTGTTGATGCTTTTATCCTTCACCTCCTCGATGTCAGGCAGGGAATTCATAGCACAGCGGAAATTTGCCTTCCAGGTTTTCGGGTCAGGGTCTTTCTCACCTACTTTGTACCTCCCTGAAAGAAGAGATGAGGCTTTTTTGTTGCAGTGCTGGTCCGTCCCACCCAGGGGGAAAAAAAGTAAGTTGTTGTTCTTTTTTCTCTGACTTATATGCTAGAAGTGAATGTAACTACCTGAGGTGTAAGTCAGGACAGAAAAAATGCCTTGTTGGAGCCACTGTGGTGGTTTCACCCAGCAGCAGCTGAACCACACAGCCCTTCCCTCAGCTCCCCCCACAGTGGGATGGGGAGGAAATGGGGGGTGGGGGGGAAATTTAAGGGTAAAAATGGTGAGTTGAGATAAAAGTAGTTTAATAGGAAAGAAAAGGAAGATAAAATAATGGTATTATTAATATTAACTAGTATTGTTAATAATGTTATTTATTGTTAACATTAATTGTGAATACTTTACCCCAAGCAAGGGATGCCCAGTGCAGTTGCTGACCCAAGCCCAGCCTGTTCCCCAGCAGCCATCACCACTTCCCCATCCAGCTTCCCTCATTTTCCATGCTGGGCATGATGTCCTGTGGTCAGGACCATCCCTTGGGCCAGCAGGGCTCAGCTGTCCCTTCTGTGCCCCCTCCTGCACCCCCAGACTCCCCCTGGCAGGGCAGGAGAAGCTGAAAAGCCCTTAACTTGGTGCTTAGCAGCAACTAAACCACCGGTCTGTTATCAACATAATTCTCATCCTAAACCCAAAGCACAGCCCTACGCCAGCTCCTGGGAAGAAAATGAAGCTTATCCAGCTGCAAGCAGGCCAGGTGTTCATGTGGGAATCCAAGGCCAGCACTCACCTGTATGGATGGCCCAGCTCCGGAAAAGGCAGGCATCTTTCTCCATGTCCCAGCCATGCTTAGCTGCATGTTTCCATGGGATTTGAAAAATCATCTTATCCTGCAGTTAAACCAACAGAAATCTGAACTTCAGAAGCAGCAGCAGGTGCCAGGTGCAAACAATGGATTTAACCAGAGGATTCTCAGGAGCAGCTCAGGAAATTGATAAACCCTCTGCTCTGTCTCTTCACTGAGCAGCCAATTTCCACCTGTTCTGCTCAGTGCACACAAGGGTTTTAGGAGTTCTGGAACTGGAAAAGCCACATGGGGTAGGGTACAGGGGCAGCAAGTCATATTGTCAATTTTATCACAGAATCACTTAATTGCATCTAATCTATTGCTATGTCATAAACTACATTTCTAGGTAAACTATATTTTCTAGGCAGACTTTGGTGGAGAATCTCTCCTGAAATTTGCCCAAAAGATGCTGCAGGAATCCCAAGAAAAATGTCCCAGCTTCAGTATCCCCAGGGGATGGCTAGGGAAATTTCCAAGAAAGAGACCTGGGTCTCTAAGCCCAGTGATCCCACCCTGTGCTGCACCTACAGGGATGTGCCTTCCCCACCAAAAAGAGACAAATCCAATTTCTTTCAGGCCAAATCTAAAACTGGGAGCAACTGGGAGTGCAGCAGTAGCTACCCAACTGGGACAGCAGGTGACCTGGCTCCAGTGAACAGCAGGAGTTAAGAGAACTTGGAGTTATCTTGGTTTTCCATCATGTCCAGGCTGCTTTAATTTCTCATTTCCCTCCTACAAGTTTTCCCAGGACAATAAAACTGGAACCTCTACCTTCTGTACCAACCAGAGGAGCCTTTCCTGGAAACAAAACCAGCTGGTTTTTAAACCAGGTTTTCCTTTATGATCTTGACTCACGTTTGGTGTCATCTAAGAATTGGTTCATGATCCAGAAGTCACAGTAATGATAATGATAGCAATAAACCACCCTCACCTTGTTAATCCAGATCAGTCCTGGTATTTGATTGGAGTTAATCTGCATTTCCAGCCAGGGCCTCATGCGCATCCTGGACACGGGCATCTTGGCTGGGGGAGAAGTCACAGCTCAGCAAAACCCTCACCGTGATTGTAACCGTCCCGCAGCGTCACCCCGCCCCTCGGTACCGTCAGCATCACCGCTAACGCTGCCGGTGCCACCGAAACTACTTTTCCAGCATCCCCCCCCGTTTTGCGGGATCTCCCACCCGCTCCGGGAGGGCAGCGCTCCCAGCGCCGGGAGGGCTGAATCCTGCTCGGGGCTGGTGGCAGGGGCGGGGGGGGGGGGGCCGGGGGGTCCAGACCCCAGCCAGCCCTCCCTGCCTCGCTCCTTCCCTGGCCCCCTTTGGTACACAGCCCCCACCCCCCTTTTCCTCCCCAAATGATGGCGGTGGGACTTGCCAGCCCTTCGCCCTTGCAGCTTTCTCCCCTTTCGCAGCCGGTGCCACCCCCCGCTCTGCCCGTCCGTGCCGCTTTCTCTTATTGTCCCGGTCCCCAAGGGCAGCGTTTCAAACCGCAAACAACAACATGGTGGTTCAGTCCATTTTCCCTCCTTTCCCAGCAACGTTCTCCTTCCCATCCCACCTCCCTCCACCCCCCC